AAGTCTGTGAGACTCTTATCTCCAATAAACCACTAGAAAACCGGAAGTGGCGCTGTGGCTCAAATGGTAGAGCACTCACCTTGAGCTGAAGAGCTGAGGAACAGTGCCAAGGCCCAGAGTTGAAGCCCCATGACCAACCAAAAAAAAAAAAAACAAGAAAGAAGCCGGGCGCCGGTGGCTCACGCCTATAATTCTAGCTACTCAGGAGGCTGAGATCTGAGGATCACAGTTCAAAGCCAACCCGGCAAGGAAATTCCCTAAGACTCTGCAGTCTACTTTATCTTATCACCAATTAACCACCAGAAAACCAGAAGTGGTGCTGTAGCTCACATGGTAGAGCCCTTGCCTTGAGCTAAAGATCTCAGGGAGAGTGCCCAGGCCCAGAGTTCAAGCCCTATGACTGACAAAAAAAAAAAAAAATCAGAAAGGAAAAAATTCTAAAACCACAAGATAGTTGATGCCTAGTAGGATGGTTAGAACCACAAGTCAGACAATAACAAGTGTTAGCAAAGATGTGGCAAAACTAGAATTCCCCTACAGCTAGTGAGAATTTAAAATGACACAGCCATTATGAAAAGGATGTGGTAGTCTTTTTGAACGTTAGACAAGTTAAGCATCTACTTGAGACAAATGAAAACACATATCCCCATACAAAATCTTATACATGAATGTTCATAACAGTTTTATTTACAGTAGCCAAAAGGCCAAAACACCTGTCAGCTGGTGAATGGGAACAGCCCAGCATGTCCAGACAATGGAATGCTGTCCATAAAACTGACAGAAGTACTGATATACTCTGCAACATGAGAACCCTTGAAAACATGCACAGTGAAAGAAGTCAAACACAAAAGACCACATATAGCTATGTATGTGGCTCATGCCTGTAATCCTAACCACTCAGAGTCTGAAATCTGAGGATCACTATTCAATGCCTGGGAAGGAAAATATGTGACTCTTATCTCCAATTAATCACCCAAATGCTATTAGTGGAGCTGTGCCTCAAGTGGTATAGTGCCTTCAGCAAAAAAAGCTCAGAGACAGCACCAAGAATGTGAGATCAAGCCCCAGAACTGGTGTGAGCACACACATACACACACAATCCAATATACAAGCTGCGCACTGGTGGCTCACACCTGTAATCCTAGCTACTCAGGAGGCTGAGATCTGAGGATCACGGTTCAAAGCCAGCCAAGGCAGGAAAGTCCTTGAGATTCTTATCTCCAATTAACTGCCAGAAAACCAGAAGTGGCCCTGTGGCTTAAGTGGTAGAGTGCTAGCCTTGAGCTGAAGAGCTCAGGGACAGTGCCCAGGCCCAGAGTTCAAGCCCCATGACCAACAAAGGAAGAAAGGAAGGAAGGAAGAAAGGGAAGAACAAATAAGGAAGGAAGAAAGGAAGGAAGGGAGGGAGACAGGGAGGGAGGGAGGGAGGGAAAGGAAAGGAAAGGAGGCTAAATATATATATGGAAGTAATTCACAGGAAATATACAGGTGGATGTGGTTGTGCACATTTGTAATCTTAATACTTGGAAGGCTGAGACAAGATCATAAGCTTGAACCACCAAGGTTATACAGTGAGACCCTGTCTTGAAGGGAAGAGGAGAGGAAGGGAGAGAAGGAAGGAGGAAGAGAGAAAAGGAAAATGCTAGCATAATGGCTCATGACTACAACCCTATCTATATAGGAGGCTGTGAACCTAGGATCAAGGTCCAAGGCCAGCCTGGGCAGAAAAGTCTCTTGGAGCCATGCTCAACTCATAGTTGGGTGCAGTGACATGCATGTCATCCTTAACTATGTGAGAGACTGATATTGGGAAGATCAGGGTTCCATGATGAAGCAGAAGCGTGAACGTGGTGGCAAATATCTGTTATCTCAGCAACAACAGATATTCTAAAGCAGATGGATGGCAAATCAAGCCCATGCTTAGGCAAGAAGCAAGACCTTATCTCAAAAATAACCAGTTATGGGGCTGGGAAGGTGGCTCAGTGGTAGAGCACTTGCCTTGCATGCATGAAGCCCTGGGTTCGATTCCTCAGCACCACATAAGCAAAAAGAAAAAAGCCGGAAGTGGCGCTGTGGCTCAAGTAGTAGAGTGCTAGCCTTGAGCTGAAGAGCTGAGGGATAGCGCCCAGGTCCAGAGTTCAGGCCCCACAACCGGACCCAAAAATAAATAAATAAATAACCAGCAGTTAGATCCCACAATATTGTAAAGTTTATGTAATTACTTAATCTCAATAAAGAAATTTTTAAAAAAACTTGGAGACACACAAGTCTATCATTTCAGTATCAGGTTCTATTCAACTACATCATGAGTCTGTTTACATTTCTGATGTGTACTAATATTTTTGGAGTTTTAAAAATAAATATAAATAAATTTCTCGAGGAAAAAAATAAATAAATAACCAGTGAGTCAGTCAGGAGCCAGTGGCTCACACCTATAATACCAGCTACTTAGGAGGCACAGACCTAGAATATCATGGTTAAAAGCAAGTCTGGGAAGAAAAGTCTGTGAGACTATCTCCATTTAACTAGCAAAAATGCTAAACTGGAAGGATAGCTCAAGCTGCAGAGAACCAGCTATGAGTGAAAAAGCCAAAGGAGAGCAAAATGGCGCTGAGTTCAAGCCCTGGTACTGACACCAAGAACAGAAACAG